TTAATTCAGGCGGACCTCGTCGGAGGATATTATGATGCAGGGGACAACGTGAAATATGGATTGCCGATGGCTTTCACGGTCACGACCCTAGCATGGGCGGCGATATCTTTTAGCTCGGAGCTGCGAGCCACCGGCGAATTGGAAAATGTCCACTCCGCTATCCGTTGGGGCACGGATTATTTCCTAAAAGCCACCAGAAAAAACAAATTGTATGTGCAGGTGGGCGACCCTGTAAAAGATCATGAATGTTGGGTGAGACCAGAAAAAATGAAGACGCCGAGAACTGTGTTGAAGATTGATCAGAATACTCCCGGAACAGAGATTGCGGCGGAGACTGCGGCGGCTATGGCTGCTTCCGCCATCGTCTTCAGAAAAACTGACCGTGTCTACTCCCGCCGTCTCCTCAACAAAGCCAAACTTGTATAAAATCAATTATTTTATCTGCATTTATTTTTTATCGTGAAAAATTATTGATATATAGATTTATATATTAATTGAATTTTTAAACTTTAAATTGAGAATTTAATTTTTAAATATAAATTAAGATTTTATTTTTTTTAAATCAAAATTAATATACAGTAAATCTCTTATTATTATCAATTATATATTGATTGAATTTTTAAATTTTAAATTAAAATTTTAATTTTTAAATATAAATTATAACTCTAATTTTTTTAAGTCGAAATTAATACATAGTAAACCTCTTATTATTATCAATTTTCTTAAAATTTTCCTTTTGTTTTTATTAATGGTGATATGGTCCTTCCCAACCCATATTGGTATCAAAATTAGTTAATTCAGACAAAAAAATATTATCATATATGATAAAAATTGCTATGGACATTTCGGTGTAAGGTCAAGCGTTTGTGCACTTTGCACTAATATGTGATTTTTTTATTTTTTAAAAATAATAATCTTGTCAAGTGCACTTAACATTGTTCTTATGTTATTTTTATTCATATTTCTTTTTTGATAAAAAAGAATTAATTTGACTGTTTTTCTCTTCCATTTTCAGCTCTTCCAATTTGCCAAAACTTACAAGGGAACTTATGATGGAGAATGCCCATTTTATTGCTCTTACTCTGGCTATAATGTAATTTACTTCTTTCTCTGTTTTATTAGCCCATTCCCAACAAGTTTGGGTTTTTATAGCCCAGAATCATCTGAGTTGAATATTTTGGATTTGGGTTGAATCTGAATGCAGGATGAGCTATTGTGGGCAGCAACATGGCTGCACATGGCAACACACAGGCCCCAATACATGCAGTACATCAAAGAAGAAGGCATCAGTGCTAATGTAGCAGAGTTCAGTTGGGATCTTAAGTATGCTGGAGTCCAAGTCCTTCTTTCTAAGGTCTTTTTTTAATTGGATCAAACACAATTAATTTCTCTTCAATTTATTATGGATTAAACAGTATCTAACGGGTACATACCATGTTTGGAATAATATGACAGTTTTTCTTCCAAGGCAACCAGGCTTTACAAAAATACAAGAACCAAGCTGACAGTTTCATTTGCTCAGTGCTTCCTGAAAGTCCCTACCATCAAGTTTTCCTCACCCCAGGTCCTCTCACTTTCAATCTTCTAAAAATGTTTCCTTTTTTGTTTTTGCCGTAAACATGAAATTTGGACTGTGTTGGGTATGGGTGTTGGGACTGATCAATTGATATTTTTTTGTCCCCAACAATAAATTAATGAAAAGTAGTGTTTGATTTATTGCAGGTGGTATGATTCACTTGAGAGATGGAGCCAACACCCAATATGTAACCGGAACAGCCCTCTTATTCACCGCCTACGGTGACTTGCTCCGTAAATTCAACCAAAAGGTTTTCTGCGGTGACAAACAGTTCGACTCCACCCAACTCAGGAACTTTGCTAGGCAGCAGGTACTAAAAATGCCAATGATTTAAAATTTCTGAATGAAAATATTTAATATTAAACCCATTCAGATTGGCTCAAGTAAATAATAATATCTCAGCTAAAACAAATTTGAGTCTTTTATTTTTATTTAAATACAAATAATTTTAATAAACTGTACTTACCCTTTACCATTAGAGTTTAAACTCCATACTCTAAAGTAAAGATTTAATTAGATCGAGGGCATAATATGAAGAAAAGGTATAAACAAAAATATTAAATTTTTATTTTTAAAATTTTTAATTTTGTTATATAAAAATTAATATTTTTAAATAAAAAATTATAAAATTAACAACCATATTTACGTATTTTCTTGCATAATATGCTGTGTTATTCATTAATTTTGATTGTAGATGGACTACCTGCTTGGAAACAATCCTCAAGGAAGATCATATATGGCAGGGTTCGGAAACAACCCACCGAAGAATCCACACCACAGAGGCGCCTCCGTCCCAGTGGAGGACGCCAACAAGGAGGTGAGCTGCCCCATGAGCTTCGTGAATTGGTACAACAAGCTCTCAGATAACCCTAACGAGCTAACAGGGGCAATTGTGGGAGGGCCCGACAAGCAAGATAACTTCATTGATAAACGCTCCGACTCCGTTTACACTGAGCCCTGCACCTATATTAACTCTATGGCC